TGTCCCTAGCCTAATTCAGTGCCTCACAGAAAATCTGAAGTCACAGTCACTGTGAACTTCAAAAACCATGCAAAAAATTATCAGGATACATACACCACAGAGCAGGCATAGCAGCCTTGTTTGCTGCTTTCCCGAACAAGGAATGTTCCATCCCGTTTTCCCCTCAGCAAATTTTCAGCTTGGCTTCTGTTGATATTTCCTACATTCCACGTTCGCTCATCATGATGGGGCAAGTCTTCATCATCTTCCACCATGGAGTATTGGCTGTACAAATAAAACAAGGATGATGCAGTGTTTTAGAGCAAAAACTAAGCATAAGCAACTCTTTCCCTCAAATCACTTTGTTCTAGATTTGAATTCCCATGTCCTTGGCCCCTGGCTTCTACCCTGGTGAGTGCAGAGATACGTCATAAAAAAAATCTGAAAACTGTAAACTTTAATAAAAAATGAAATGAAATGTCTAACCCTTATTGTGACAGCTACCCATGTGAATCTAAAAGCAATACAAATGGATGAAGTGCTATCTTCCAGAGGTTGCACTAAGTGTTTTAGTACAACTGCTGCTGCTCATACTTTTGGCAATCAGTGAATTCAATGCTGAAAGTTATAACTCTTTGGAATCAGTGGAACAATCAAGAATCACATCAAGATCACACGGCTGTTCGGGAAAGTTATGTGCACTACAAGACAGGCACTTTATTCATAGGCGCCTCTTGGTGCAAAAAGGGGAAACATCAGAGAATTCTCTTTCCTCTTTCTTAGAACATCACCTGGTTATAGTAAAGGCCAATAGAGGCCCTTCCCACCCCACACATTCCAGCAGCTGTAACAGAGGGCTCCTTCCCCCCCTCTCTCAGTGGTTTCATAGTCATGGCTAATAGTGGGTATGAAGTGTGAGCCCTCAAGTGGGCTCCAAGTGCAGTGCTTTGGGAGAAGTCTGAGAACCCGACCTCTTTCCCAGAAGCTGATGGCTTTAGAATAGTGGGAGTGATTTTTTTCCAAGGTGAGGCCACCTGGCTGCACAGGTGCTCCCCCCCCCATATATCTGGGTAGCAAATATCAGCTTTTCAATTTGGTGGACTCTTTTTTTTTTTTTTAAAGAGTAAATAGGGTGTTACCTTCATCCCCAATTCTATGTTTTTAAGGACCCTCAATCTGTCCCCTCGGTCTGGGACACAGATGCCAATGTCCACACCTAGAATACAAACTCCTAAGTTCTGCACTCTCCTTCCTGATGCATGCCATCTAGGCTCCCTTATCTCTTCACACACCATTTTCCTGAATTACATTCCTTCTGCTATAAAACTATAACCAGTTCTCAGAGATGGAGATTCTGGCTTTCTAGTTATGCTCATTTTGATTAAGTCTGGATTTTTTACTACAAAAAAATCCATGCTTGGAATTCAATTTGAACAAACTGAGCAGAAACCTGAGGTTTTACTAGCAAGGGAAACTTAAAGTTGTAGTGTAGTGCACTACACAGGTGAATCATATTTGAGTATAAAAGCAGAGCAGGAATACTTGCTGACTGACTATACTATTATATCCATTTCCGGTGGTAGTTGCTGACATAACACAGCTAACAGCATTCTGAAATTGAGAATTCTTTAGAGGTTCTTAGAGGTTTTAGCCACATAATACCCCTGTGAATTATCATAGTCTGCATTTTACAGATAGGTAAAACAAGGTAAAGAGTGGTTAGCTCCTTTCCGTACCCATCTGACCAAACACTTCTTGAAGGGTGTATGGAAGGTGATGCATCCTTTAGAAAAAGAGAAATAACTTTGTACTTTTCCCAACAGTCTCAATAAACAAGATGCCATGTGCAAAGCAGTTCCAACTACTACTGTGCCTAAAAAGATATGCTTAAGCTAATTTTGCTGGATAAAATTATTTGAGGTATTTGGAATATTCAATTCCTTCAGCACTTACTCTTCAGTATTTTCATTCCCAAGCCATTCATTTAACTTCTTTGGTCGAACACCTTTTTGAGTTAGCCACCTAAAAATAATTAAAAACAGGTTTATACAATTGTCTCTGGAAAAAAAAAAACTGAACATTGTTGAAAGAAGCCTTCTCTAAATTCTTTGTAATCCATAATTGTACTCACATCAAGTACTGGTCTCTTGTCTTTCTCAGTTGTATGAGGTCTGGTTTAATGCTGTTCATACGTTTGTCAATCTCTCTATATTCAGCTGCTTGTTTCTTTAAATCCTCTTCCAGTCTGCGTCTGCTGTCCACAATTTCACTTATTCGAGACTTCAGTTTTTCATAGTTGTGCATAATTCTGAAAGGAAGAATTAGGTTTAGTGTTTTTGTTGGATCCTGTTACCTCAACTAGCTTTGCTAATTTCACTTATGAGTATCCAACACAAAATTTATTTTCCAAGATTTAGCTACAAATTTTGCAAACTCTCACCCCATCCATCCCATTTGAGATTTATTTTGCTTAGGTCTGTTTAATTGTAAAGAATCTTGGTTTTGGTCTATACAATTACAAAGGTTGTACTTTTTTTTTTTTAACCAGATCCTGCACATTTTTAAAGGGCTAACTTTGGCACCAACCTTTGTATTTCTTTTTCATTTCCTTCCCGTTTAAATTTCTCAATGTACTCCTTGCTGTATCTTTCCTGTGTCTGGCACTGCTCTTCAAATATTTTTATGGTCTCATTAAATGCTTCAATAGCTGTTCTTTTCATCTGAATTTCCTGAAAATAAAATAATTACCATTACAGATCTGGGAAAACTGAAAGGGTGGTTTACTGGCCTGTATCACTGGAAAGGAGTAAGATACCTTGACTATACTTTAGTAACCCTAATGCAGACTATATATGGTTTGTAGACCTGTCTGATATAGGAAAAGAAGCTTTAATGAAACTACAATGAGGCTGCTTTCCAGGAAAGGATGTAGAGTTACTTGCAACCTTTCTTTTAAAGATGCATTAGTTTTATTTACATGACTGGAGCTTTCTGACCAAGTTCTTCATTTAGACTCAGTACAAACTAGGTCTTTAGAGATACAGTTGGCGCTCTTGAAATACCGAAGTGGCGCTACTCAGACCCCCCTCAGTACACCTCAAATTTCCCCCCTTTTTTTTTTAAAGATACAATTCATGTAGGTTTTAGAAGGTGATCATCATCCAGGAACTGTGGAGGAGTATCACACTTTTGGCACTGCAAGGCTCTGTTAGTTGTTGGTTAAGATAACAGAATGTAGGACAGAAAGGGTGTTTGCTGTCTATTTCTGTGCTGTTTCTAGGTGTCAGACACCCCCCCCAATATATGTGAAATCTCTTTTGCCCCAAATAAATCATAAAGTACTGTGCTTATCATGCCTTCAAAGCATGACAACCTGACCTCATAAGCAGCCAGTATGCAGAATTGCTGCCAAGCCAATGGGAGTTCTGTGTCTGAAGTGGATGCAGGAGTGGGCCCCAAAGGATGGGGTTATATTGCAGAGAGGGTGATGGTTCAGCCATGAGTAAGCAATTCCAACCTACTGAACTATTCTATCAGCCAATTTTTCTTCAAGGGGGTAGGTGAGTGGGGGAGGGGGGAGAAAATAACAGAACAAAGAAAGCAACTCAGAGTTACAAAGATGGTTTACATCAACATCTTTCTAAATCTTGCTCTTTTTCAGTTTTGTTTCAAGGATAATTCAGCTCACCTGAGATGTTCTGGTGTAGTCTTCATAGAGCCTGTCATATTCTCGGCTCTTTTCTTGGAACTGAGTGTTATATTCGTGTAATTTCTTTCCCACTGCTTCAATACTGTCTTCTTTTACAACTTGATCCTGAGACAATAAGCAGAATGAAATATATATAACTAAATCCAACAAACACACAATTACATATTACAAAATCTTAGAATAAAATCAGTTTACAAAAAAACTTGACATTTAGAGCATAACATAACACTATAACATAATATATCTTTTTGCAATATGGAGAAGCAATGGACTTAATGCATCTATAATATGGACAGTAGAAATGATGCTAAGCACAAAAAGCAGTTTTGCACTGCTAATATGCAACATTCTGCTGAAAATAATGTAATTCATCATTAATAGCTATGCTGTTTATTTACTCTAATACGTTTATTTTCTTATTTGCTAACTTCAGTATTTAGTGTTTTCGGTGTTTATGCACAATGTTATATAGTTATTTTTCTTGAAAAAACATGTTTTTTTAAATCCACTTTATTCCCCCAAATAGCAACTGACTTGCAGTCTTCCCATACTGAATGATTCTTCACCTTATAATGATTTTTCTTTAAAGTGAAAACCAAAAAACGTACCTGCTGATACTTGGATACAGGATAAAGTAATTTTACATCCAGTTTAGGATTATACTGGGCTAGAGACTCGTTCCGGTAGTGGTTTATTAGCTCAACCACAGAGTTGAAAGTTAATGGGTCAGAAAAGCCATACTTCCCATCTCGATGAAATATTTTGATTAATTTGTTATTTCCTCCTTTCCTGTAAATAAAGTTTGGGAACAGTCAGCTACACACAAGACACTTTAGTCTAAAGAACAGCATGCAGTGAAATATCAGAATCTGCCTGACCTTAGTGTGAGCGTATAGTCTCCATGCATCTTTGTAGAAGCATCTCGTACTAGAAAGGTGCCATCAGCAGTGTCTCGAAGCTTCTCATTTACTTCCTCCCTAAAATGAAAGCAAAAGTAACCAATGATTTTAGCAACCCTGCCAGTCATTTCTTCCTAATCATTTTTTTTCTTCTTCCTTATCATTTGATTTTTTAAAAAATGATATCCTTGCTGTATTTCAACAGCAGTCTCTAACTACAAATTAACAGTGACAGTCATAGTTCTGCTGGTGGACAAATGGAACATAAAATATGCTGCACCCAATACCCTCCCTCCCACTGCTAGAACAGATTTGTATTTATGAAAAGTTCTTCATACTTGTTCATACAAGCCTGAACAATTGGAGCATGCAGTGGCAGTCTAGTCTACCTATATATAGTAAGGTTAGAAATGTTGCTTATATATGGCACTTTGATTATCAAAGTAGTATTGTGCCCACTGTTTTGGTCTTGGACATAAGAGGGGGGAAAATTGCTGGTTCTTGATGTTATCCTTTCATTCTAGTGTTTCATACATGTCTTAAAATAACAGAATAATTACCAGAAAAAAATATTTTACACATATTACATTCTGACTGCCAATAACTTTTTAGTCATCTTTGGAACACGACCAATTATGGTATGTTGATGTTGGAAAGTGTCCTGAAAATGGCTCCCAATACCACAGTATTTTTTTCTATACTCAAGTGTAACATACAGAGAACATAGCAAATACAATCCTTTAGCAGGCTTACCTTGAGATATCTCCCCAGTACCATTCAGCATCTTGTAATGACATGTTGTTATTCATACCGTTGTTAGTTACAGTACTAGGTTTTGGGGGTTTAGGAGGCAATGCTGCAGATGAGAAAAAAAAATCTCTTTGTAATCCAGGTATAAATTAAACAGTATATACCTTAAAAGTATAAATTATTGTATGAATGAAAACAAAAATCACAGCATTGGAAGAAAATGGAATGACTGCAAAGTACAGGTTTCCCTTACTGGCAGCTGTGGAAGATACCAAATAAATCAAAGGTATTTAATTGAAAACAAACTTAATTGCATAATAAGGCTGTATTATACCAAAAGACTTGTTTGTTAGGCATAATTACAGTTCAAACAAAACACAACTCCTGAAAATATTTTCTGGCCAAAAACATTTAAACTAAAGTTTATTTTCACCTTATCCCACCTTCTACAGAGAATGACCATCTTCACCTATAATAAATTATGAAACGCGTAAATCTTCCTCTTTATTTTTTTCTTTCATTTAATGATGCAAAAGAACTTTTTTCTTTCTTTTTTGCACAAGAGCTGGTGTAGGTAACAAAAAGCAGCAAACCCACAGCAATACTGTATGTTGCAAGAGGAGGAACTGGGTTGCTCTGCTCCACAGCATTTTATACAATGATTTATCACAAACCACTTCAAGAAACCTATCTATGACCCAAATATTCTGTCTGTTAATCTTAGTATTCTACAGGATAAATGATGTTCCAAATGCCAAGGCTGATTGAAAACCACATCCCTTTTTCTCAATGTCAAAGCTGCATACATAGACCAGTGGGTGCCAAAGAAGATACTGCAGCATTTCTGACTTACTAGCAAAGAGGGGCAACACTGGAACAAGGATTAAAAATCCAGCAAGCTTTTTCAGCTTCATAGTAAGCACAACATTGTTTCTGTACACAACTGTGTGCTTGAATGCAAAACACAATGTCAGTACTGCAAAGTGTGTCGAGGCAGTAAAACAATTTAAATTTCCTATTATAAAGGATGCAACATCAGGAATTCAATTAATATTGGTAGATTTTAAAAGCCAGCCTGTACATTGATATGTAAATCACTGATATAGGAAATACAAAGTGTTATTATAGGATCTCCTGTTAATCATAACAGGAGAAGAAATAGAAAATATATGCAATACACTTAGTTTGTAAACAAACAAAACCAACTATATATACGAGAGAATAAAATCAAAACCAAAACACCTCAGTTCTGTTCAATTCTGATTAAGTTAGCAAAAAGGTATTACTACAGGTTATGATTCTATTTGCTACTCCCATGCACTAAAAAACAATTTAATCCCAATTTATGAAAAAAATGATACAAATATCATTCAAAGAAAGTAAATCTTAACCGTCTGAGGAGGATTTTGTAGCAGCTATCATAAAGACCCAAATGAACTAGTCTTCTGTAATAAGACTGCAGTTTTACCTGGTGGATCCATTTCTATGTAAAACATCAAGTCTGTGCCACAATTTATATCTGCCTTAGAATATTCTACATCCAGTTCTTCCATATTCCAAACAGTGTTGTACATTTCTATGAGTTTCAGTGAGTAAGCTCAGTTATAAGAAAAGAGTCAGGCTCTCTTTGTAATGGTGTCTTGGAATTCATTTTAAAACCTATAAGGGGCTGCACTGTAACCTATTACATCATAATCCTCAGCCAATCATGTCAAAATAATGTCACCAGACCACTCCTGTTTCATCATTTTGTTTTACACTAATTTTAAAACAATTTCAGTTTCAGAAAGAATCTACATTTACCAGAATTCCAGCGTAAAGCTGATGCTATATACAAAAAAACTGAGGATGTTCTCCTTAGCTTTCTATTTCATTTTTCTGGCTCTTTGCAGCATGGTACAGTCCACTGCTGGCAGGTTGACAAAGGCTGATATGCTGCAGCACGTAGCTCTTTAGCACACCCCCCCCCTCCCAATCTTGGTTTATAGATAGGCAGGTTGGCAAAAGATCACCAATCAAAATTCTTTAGAAGCTTTTTGTACTGACTGCACATTTTATACATTTAAAGAAAAAAAACACCTTGCACCCCAGACATGGAATGAAAAAAAAATTACATTTCTACCCAGCACAGAATTTAAACTTCTAAATAGTCACAATGATTTGATGCCATTATATAAACATACTGGAGTGAGGCATATTTCCAGTAGCATTTTATAGTTCAATACAATTGCTAATCAATTGGAATTAATTAATTTTCAAAGCTAGAAGCCAAATATTTTTTCCTTGCATTAAAGATGTTAATGAGGTTTTTTTTTTTTTAATTCAATGAAGTGATTCAAAACTAAGCAAGATCCTGAAAAAATGATTTTTCTGACTATATAAAGCTTGTCCAGAAGATTTAGTCTGCCTTTTCACATCCTCTCTCTGACCTTTTCTCATCAAGGTATTTGTGTTGGCTATTTTCTGAAGCACTGGCCCTTGTCAGTTTCTCTTTTTTTCAGTCTACTTTATATCATCAAAAGCCTTCTGTTATTTAAAAGTATTCCTTCCCAACCATACTTAAAAAATACTGGACTATTACTCTCTCAACCTCCACCAAAGAATCATCTGCTCTACATACTGTTCATCACACAGTGGGTTGCCATGCATAGTAATCATGAATACTTTCATATTTGTTATAGTCTATCTGGGCAAAAACAAACAAAAACCAAAATGGCAAAAAAGGGTAAGTGACTGTAGCAATTCACAATGCAACCATCTGAAGAAATTCTTTTGAGTTGGCAGGGTTAAACATGCATGCAGATTACAAAAGTACCTGTTATATAACTAAAAACGAAATATTTCATTTAGTTAAAAATTACTTCTCCCAAATATGGCATGCACATCTATCCCCAATCACAATAAGCCCCCCACTCCCCATAGTGTCATCCTTTTAGAGAAGTTAACATACAAGGAAATACCTACAGTGCCATCAACAGCAATAAATGTAAATAGTAGTTTCTCATTATGTGATTATGCCTTAACCCATTCTGAAGAAGACTCTCTCCCCACCCCATTTAGGTAGACATGCTCTTAAGATGCCTTCCATTTGCATAGTGTAACAAGATACTGAAGATGATCCCAGACACAAGTCCAAACATTGAACTTGAGGGTTTAGCCCATCTGTTATCCAAACAGTTGAGTTGCTGAAGTACAATGTTTAAATTAGCTTTTGAAAGATTTCTGACAGAGAATGCATTGTTACACGCAGGTCTACTAGTAGGTTAGTACAATTTTAACTATAAAATCTATTTAAAATATTGCTGCCACCAAAAATATGTGCCCAGGATTTACCACTGGCAAATTTTGGACTGTCACACTGGTACAATCAGGTTCTTGTTCAGCCCAAACTCGTCTAGCTGGCTGTGACACTATATGGCAAACCAGAACAGGCAGGACAGTGACAGACAGGTGATTTTCCATTGCTCCAGCATAACCCAGATTAGGTACTGACTTCCATTTAAACATGTTACAACTAGAAAGTTTCTACTGGCAGATTAACTGTAGTAAGGGAGAGAAAATATAATGATACTGCACTTTCATAAAGGGTTGGGGAGAAATACATACAAATTCAAAGCCACTTACTTTGTAAATTATGCATTGCAAATACTTGCCACCCTCCCCCGTAACCTTGTATGAATAACCTGAAAATTTTAGCAGTGCTTTCTCATAGAAACCGTTCTAAAATTCCTTTCAGAGACTTCTTCATATAAAATAGGTAAATTCAGTTCTAAAAAAGGTCTTCCAATTAATCCTCCATAAAATCCATTAGGAAGAGCTGAAACATGAAGTCAGAAACATCCAAGCCTCCTCTTCTATTCTTAACTGATTAATACTCTGTGCTGTGCAGAGGGTATCCACTCTTTTCTAGTTCATCATTAAAAAGTGAACCTGATTCCAGTACTGTAAAGAAAAAAACCAGAAAAAAACCCCAGTAGCTTGCACGTCTCTCAGATAAAGATCTCGGTTTCATGATTAACTCGGGCAGGTTCAAATATTTGCTGAGCCAGGGATTTCAGGTGGGGGAGGGGGAGCCAATGTCAAAGTAAAAGTTGTCATCAGCTAACAAGTGGCCAATGCAGGACTAACTTTCTCATTTTAGCCAAGTAAATGAGAAGACCATTGTAAGTAGACTTAAAATAGTCTCTGTAACTGGCTGCTGAGAGCAGTATTAAAGTAACTGACTGTCAAGAAAAGCACTATGAACAGCCAAATACAGGAAGTGGCTGAGCTACTTCAGAAAAAATAGAATCAAAGCCTTCCTTGTCGAATTCTGTACCTTTCAGAACAGCCCAGTGCAAAAGTAGTTTGCATGCATTGCATCACCTTCCACACACTTACACAGGACCACAAATACAGGTGTCACTTGATGACCCTTAGAATGAAGTTATAAACTGTTTAGTAGGATTAATATCAACCAATAACACTAGAAAAAAGTGCATCTATCTGTGCTGTTTTCCAATATGTAAAGTGCATTCTCTTCATTAGCTGATGGAAAAAAGGTAGTTGCAAAGAGCATGAAAGTGATTTGGTCAATTTTCTTTTTCTAATGTGGTGGAGTGTGTACTTGGTGATGAAAGAGAGAAAAGAAACCATTTCCCCCATCACTGACACTGACCAGCTACCTTTACCTTAAGTACTCCTGACTCATTTCAGTGCATGTAGAAGGAAAATCAGGGCTAAAGAATTGTTGAAAGGAAGGAGGAAAGTTGTTTATAGCTTTGTTTCTTTTAGCTTGAAATAATTCCTGTCTCCTAAATTAGCTGTTGTTCCTCAAGGTCAATTTAATCTCCTTTGCTTTTGAAACTGTTATTGCAAAATGTTGCTTCCTAAAATCCTAAACTAAACTAAAGAAAGTACACAAATTCCCTGCAACTAAATAGGGAAACACAACTCTCTTCTTCTGTCCCGTTTCTCCTCCCTCCCAAAAAATGGCTTGATCTTTTAGTTTATCAATTAAATGATTTCAGCTGCAAAAAAATTCCTTTACTTATTTTTTTTTTTCCTTTTCTTGCCACACAGTTACCAACTGAACAACTACCAATTCTGGGTGCCCTTTCAAGTAGC